GACAGGATGCACTTGAATTCACCATAATTTCAAAAGTTGATGGTGCACGACCCAGAACAGGGAGTGGAGGAATGGGGGTGGGGAAGGGATGGGGGGGAAGGGGGGGGGGGGGATAAGGTGACATCCAATAGCCCCAGCTGCTGCTGGTTCCAACAAGTGGTGGAGATTCCCACTCACCATGGAGAAGGAGCCAGCGTTCAGAGTTCAGATGAAAAGATCTGTGAAATGGCTCAGAGAAACTAGAAAAAGGAAGCTTCCTTTGGTGCAGTTCCCTTCCTTTCCGGACCCACGGGCTGGGCTGGCTGGGGCCAGTGAATTAACCTCTTTCAATCAGCTCACTTTTTCAGCTGTCTTCACCACTGCTTCCTGCACAATTGATCTGAATCACTGCACAGCCAATCTGACCTCTCATTAAAACACATTGAAAAGAATGCACTGGACTTTTTCTCGACCTGTGCCGGGGCAGCTTAGAACTGTGGGTAAAAACTCTTGGTATCTTAGCAGCAGATTCCTTCAAATGTATGTGTTCTTAGTCCCCCCCACAGGGAAAGAGGGTCAAATGTGCATACCCTCTGAGCTTGGGTTGGGTGGCAGAGGGCATGAAGACAGCAAGTAACACGTACCAGGGAGAATTGCCAAGTCTAGGAATTTTGGAAAAGTATTTACATGGCTGACCTACTAATGAAAGCCCCGAGTGTCCAAGGTAGCATCCACTTTCCAGTTGGAATCCTATCTTGCCCACAGCAGTGAGCACGGTGCATCTGTTGCATGAACACATGTGCACGTGGCTGCAGGTGGTAGCGGAGGGGCACCAAGCACGAAACCAAGCGTGGGACCTGAGCAGCACCCCCACTTCTCACCTGCCCGCCTTCCTCCTGCTCCTGTGTTCCCTCTTTCCTATCTTCCTGGTGTCCTTCCCTGACCACTCCTCCGTGAGCCTTCTTAAAGTATTCCGCAATCTCACTGCGTTCCCAACGGGTACTTGTTTTTTTTACTCAAAGATAAAATGGAAATCATGCAAGACTAAGACCTTCAGTCCAAGGCAAGATGTTCTTTTTCTTTCCTTCCAACTGCTAGATTCGAAGCAAAAAAAAAACAAGTCCACTCTGTTAAGATCAATTCATTCTAATGTGCTTCAAAAAATGGAGTGTTTGGGTGATCTGACAATTCACTGCCCGGGAACCCGAGGAGAGAACTCACTAAATCAGTCAGCACACGGTGCTGCGGTCCTGTGGTCTGTGAGGAAAATCAGAGCTCTGGATGTGTAATGAATTCCCGGCGGGAAGAACGGAGGGACGGGGTGCTCCCTTGATTCCTCTGGGAATGAGCAGAGGAACCCGAAGATGAAGGACCCTTTCATGTCTGGAAGGGTCACCTCCAAGTACTTTTCCTTTTGCCTAAAAAACACCTCCTCAGTTTTTTCTTCCCACAGCCAAGGGCACTTCTCTACCCCCACCCCCACCCCAAATCCCTCCATCCCCTCCATCTCCTCCCCCTGCTGGCAGTGGGAGTACCCAGGGCAGCTCTGACTTCACAAACAGCATAGAAAGCATCCTAATAGTTTCCCAGCCCGTCTGTTAATTAGCCTTTGGAGGGGGAAATGAAGAAACCACACAGTTCCTCCTTCAGTGATTCTCATCTCCGAGACACTAATGAATCAACTCAGGGTGAGCAGGAAGGAACAGGTTTAAACGTGAGACGCTGGTATGGAATTAATGTCAAAAAGGAGCCAGTCTCCTGGGGCACTTCCGGGGCAGAACCCCAGCCCTTGGAAAACATCTACAGCCTCTCCCCAAATAGCCCCCAGCAAGCACTGCAGAAGCTGCTCCCGAAACATTAAAATCAGTGGGCGCCTGAGGCCAATCAGCTGGAGCCTCCCGGGCGGGTGAAAAGAAGGTGAGGTGGGGGGTCCTGGTGGGAAAAGAAGTTTTAATGGATAAAGGTGGGCACCCCCTGTTTCTCCAAGGTGGCACTCCAGGTCCAGATCATGGGGTTCCCCGGTCTCTGTCCCCTCCCTTCTCAGGGCGACTGTGCTCATCTGATGGGATCACAGTAGAGCTGAGCGCTTCCCCTACAGACACTGACTTCTCCCAGGGAAGCAGGATGGCAATGCCTGATCAGTTCTAGAAAAGTTTGAATCTGTTCTTCCCTGAAGGGACTGAGGCTGTGACAGGTAGCCCTGCCTTGGGAGTGTGTGCACGTGGGCATGGGCAGGCCGGAAACCCCGGGCAGCTGATCTCGGCGCTCCTCACTCAGACTCCTGACCCTGCTCTACCAGCTCCCACCTTCAGAGAATCACACAGGGAAGAGCTCCTTGCCTTGTCAAAAAGCAAATGCCCCTGTTGAACTATTTCAAGAAATATGTAAGCACAGGCACATCTCATCTCCTCTGCTGCCCTCTGAAGAGTATACGTTCTTTCTTCTCCCTTCTCCCTAGGGAGAACTCATCATGGTATAAATATTTACCTTTCTCCATCACTCGCTCCTTCTCCCTACCCCAAGTCCCCAACAAGAATTCTGCACACTAAGCTCCCTGACAGCAAACGGCGGTCTCTGAAGTGTGAGCAAAGCGAGATGAGCCGTGGTACCATGCGCACCCAGGAGTCAGTCTGAAATGTGCACACTCACCCTGACACACCTGGGAAGAGGTCAAGGTGAGATGCTGCTGTGCCTGAGTTATCTCAAACTGAAAAATAAGCCCCCCAAGGTCACTCATGGAGTGTGCTAGGTGGATCTCTCATGCTTTGTCTCCCCTATTCCCCCCCCAAAATAGACAGGCATCGTCCCCTACCTAACAAGCACCAATATGATGGTTTCCGAAGCACTGTCAGGCGAGGCTGCAGCTGCTGGAAGAGGTGCTGTGAACTGAATAAAATCAGGAGTTGAAGCTGAGGGAGAAACATCCCCTATTTACATAATGGTCTGAGGGCTGAAATTCATCTCCTTTCCCATGGTTACCTCTCTTCCCTCACTCCAGAGAGAGAAACTGCCCCCAGTGGCATCACCACGGAGCCATACACCATACACCATACACCTCGCTGTGGGGAGGGGAGGCGATCGGTGTTAATAGGGAGGGGAGAAAACACCAAGAGGGGCCAGCCACACCTCCAGGGCCACACGCCAGTAGAACACAGGCCAGCGCCAGCTTCCAAACACCATCAGGACCTTTCCAGGTGATGATGAGCACACTCAGTAGGAGGCGGCAAGGTCAGGGCAGGGGCCAACTCTCTCTATAAGAACAGAGAACAAGGACTCAGACAAGAAAGAAACCCAAAGAAAGTGTTGTGGGATCAACCAGAAGGCCGCAGCCAAGGTGGAAGGCGTGATCCTAAGCCAGAACCACAGGAGGCTAAAAAGGAGACGACAGGCCTCGGGGGCTGGAAGCAGCGATGGAGCCATAAAGACCAGATACATCTGCTTCAGAAAGGTGCTCGCCCACAGGCAATTCCCTCTCTGCTTTCCTTCTCTGTTTAGAGAGAACTTCGTCATCAGGCAAGACCCAGAGGAGAGAGTGTTCTTGTCTTGCTGTCCATCCCCCCACCCCCCGCCCCCGCCTTCTGCTTTTGAGAACCGGCACTGGCCACAGACCACTTACCACCATTCCCCCATCAGTTCCCAGGACCAGCGCGGGCACAGTCTCACTACCTCAGTAATAAGATAGGGGGTAAAATGGAGGATAGTAGCACTTTTCAATGAGCAAGCGTCACAAACAGGACTCCAGGAAGGGCCCTAAGCCCAGCAGCCAAGGTATCAGTATGGCAGTACCCACACTTAGAGGATTTGACTCAGATCCAGGGAGCATCCTCTTTTCTCAACATCCACAGTTTCAAGAGTGGGGGAGAGGGGGAAAGATTGCTCAGAAATGTCTATCTGCCTCTCTCTCTTCATCAAGGTACAGGTGATTCATGTCCACGGCAGTGAGGGAACAGGGTTTTCAAGACAAAAGACTAACACACAGAGTGCCCAGAGGAGCTAACGGTCTATGGCTCAGGGTGGGTGCCTGATGGATAGACTGGGAAGCAGGACTGGGCGGAGAGGTGGTCCGGGGTCCTAGGGCCGTGCACACGTCATGTGCCAGAAATGGAGCACTGTCCCGGGCCAGGGTTTGTTCCCTGAGAAGACTCTGTCGAACCACGAACCACATCCAGCCAGCCATCATCCCGAGGGGACTGGAAGCAAAGCGAAGTTTCAATCCCCTGGGTGCTTTGTTCCTGGAGTAGCCCAAAGCTGCTCCTTTCTTCGCTGGGCTTTGCCTTCCCAGGGGGCTCACTGGGAGCTGGAGCGGTGGGATGGGAGGCTGTCGGGGTGAAACCACGGACCACCAACCACCTTTTGTAAGTTCTGGTGGGAGGCGCGGCCCCCAGGGCCTCCCGATTTGAAGCCGTGAAAGATGCCCAGCGGGCTTGGCACAGTGAGAAGTGTTAGCTCGGAGTTCTGCCCACGGGGTTTAAAGGAACAAGTCCTCAGGGCTCAGCACGAAAGATAAGCAGCCCACTCGGCAAGATGCAGTGAAGAGACACCATCTGCCCTTGGTCAGCCTGTCGCCCCCATCTCTCTAACACCATCCAGTGTAACACTTAGTCACTCGGTACTCTTTCCCGTAAGGTTCCAGCATCGGTCAGTTTCCTTTACTGAAGACGATGCTTCAGTCTGACTCAGAAAACCAAATGCATGAAGAGCCTGCATCCAAGTGCCCACCTGCCATAAAAACTGCGCCCTGGACCCTCCCCCAGGATGACAGAGTGTGCGCAATTCTTACCCTCAAGCTTCACAGACCCTTGCCAATCCTCACTATACTCTGTAAAGCCCCAAGGCAAGAGGCGTTGATTTATTGCATGTCAAGGAAGCAAGGGTGAACGTGACTTTAGAGTCAGGAGGGACCCGGGGATGCCGAGAGAGTGAAGAGGGCCAGGGTAGCCCCGTGAAGAGAAGAGCGTATAAAGAGGGGTGAGGCTCCCGGAGCCTGGGGGGTGGAGGGCACCTGCCAGAGGCTCTCTCACCTGTGGATGTTCATCTCCCTCGGCGGGCGGTGGGCCTTATCATAGGAGACCTTGGCGAAGACGCCGGCCACGATGACGAAGGCGATCACCCCGCAGGTGATGTAGACGGTGAAGTTGGTCTTGTCCTTCTCGGGGTCGTACTTGTTCTCGGGCCCCGGCGACACCACCTTGGTGCTGGGCGTCTGCACCCACACGGGGCTCTGGTAGTTGTTGCACTGGCGCTGGTCCAGCTTCTCGTGGCGCTTCTTGCAGCAGAAGCGGTAGTAGCAGGTGCCGCAGCAGTACAGGTAGCCGCTCTCGCTGTTGTTGCACTCGAACTCCTTGTCGTACTGGCCGCTCACGTCGTAGTAGCCCCAGCACGTCTCGTAGGTGACTGCCGCGCTGGCAGCCGCCGCCGCCGCCGCCACCGCCGCCGCCGCGGGCTGTCCCCGCCGGCTCCCCGCCTCCGGGACGCCACTGCCGGCCGCCCGGGCGGTGCCGTTCAGCTCCCGGCCGCCCCGGGCCAGGGCGCCCCCGGGCCGCCGGCCCCCGACGGCAGGGGCGCCGGCGGCGCTCAGGGTCCGGTTGGCGGCGCGGCCGCGGGCGCCCTGGGCGCCGGGCAGCAGGTCCAGGAACTCGGGGGAGAGGAGCAGCAGCAGCAGGAGGCGCCGCGGCGCCATGGCGGGGCGGGCGCGGGAGCTTTAGGCCGCTCCCCGGTCGGCGGGCTCGGAGGGCGGCCGCGCGGGCCGGGTGGGCGGCGCGGGGCTGTCAGTGGCCCCGGGGCGATGGCGCCATCGAGGCGCGAGCGGCGACAGAGGAGGCGGCAGAGGCGCGCCGTGCGCCCCGAACGGCCGGCCCGGCGCGGGCTGCTGGCACTCAGGCTGCGCGCCGGCTCCACGCTCCCCCTGCGGGCTCGGCGCGCCTCCGGGGCAGCCCCATCCCCCGCCTGCGGCGGCGGCCCCGCGCGCGGCTCGGCTCGCTGGGCTCGGCTCAGGCGGGACCCGAAGCGCAGCTCCTCCGGGAAGCGGTGGCAGCGGGGTCCCGTCCGGGCGGCGGGTCCTGCGGGACAAGAGAGGGAGCTGGTCAGGGGGTGGAGCGGAGGAGGGAGGCGGGTGGAGAGCAGCGGAGGGCGCGCGTAGCCCTCGAGGAGCGAGGCTCCGGGCCAGGGGGGGGCTCCGAGCCCGCTCCCGAGACGGGCCCGGCGCGCTGGCCACGGAGGGCGCACGAGCAGCCCGAGCCGCCCTTCCAGGCGCCGCGCCGCTGCCCGAGCCCCGGACCGGCGGCCCTGCAGCGCGTTCTCGCCGCGGGCGGGCTCCCCGGGACGGAGCCGGCAGCCGCAGGGGTCGGGCAGCGGGATCGGAGGGGGGGGGGGGGCGCGGCGGCCGGACCCCACTCACCATGCCCCGCTGCGGCTGCAGAGGCGGCGGCTGCCCGGCGGGAGCGCAGCGGCAGGAAGCGAGCGAGCCCGGAGCCACCGCTCGCTCGCCGCCTGCGCTGGTGCCGGAGCGGAGCGTGTGCGAGTGGAGCGCAGGAGACACAAGCACTCGCCCTCCTGCACACACGCGAGCGCCGCGAGGGGAGGGAGGAACCTGGGGGGGGGGGGGGGGGCGGTGCAGCCGCTCGGCTCACCGCCGCCTACGCTTACAAGCCCGGGCGCCCGGTGGGAGGGGGGTTCCTCTCTGCTTCTTCCCCCTCGCGGCACTGGAAGCTCCAGCGTCACCAAAGCTCAGGACTCCCGTTCATCCACAAGGCGAACCAGGCCGGGGCCCCAAAGAGGGCCCCCCCCGGAGGAGGGCAGGGGTGTGCCCTCTGTAGCTGGCAGGCCGAGGACCAGACCTTCCCTGCCTCTGCCCGATCCGGCCCTGGCGGCCGGCCCCATCCTATTGGGTCCCGGGCTGTGCGCAGCGAGAGCTGGAGCTGGGGTTTCTGCGAGCCTTTGCCTCTCTCTAGTGGCGGCGCTGGCTGCAGAGAGATCAGGTCAAACCCATTGCTACAGGTTCCTAAACTGAGACCAGGGGTCAAATGCTCCTATGAGGTTGCGGGGCTACTAGTGAGCAAGGACTAAACTCTTGTCTCCTTGGGCATACTGCTCCCCACCCCGCCTCCAACATGCACACTGGCACAAAGCCCCAGCGCTGGGTGGCACCTCAGTTTCCCTCTTTCCAGGACATTTTCCAGAGTTTTTGGGGCTGTTAGAAAAGCTGTCTGAGCCTGTAAGAACTTTGAAATTCCTCTACTGTAGCTGAGGCAGGGTGGGAGTGGGTGGGGGTGGGGTGAGGTGGCGCAGAGGGTGGTGTTCCGGTGTGGTTGCTGATCTGGTCTGTGAAAGAGGCCCAGGTGTAACTTGCAGAGCCATGAGGCCGCCCACCCTAAGAGGGAGCCACAGTCCTCCTCTTTGACATGCTTTAATGGAGGAGGTGGGGGATGAGAACAAAAAGCAGTGGCCACTGACAGGATCCTGCCTGCCTGGCCTGGCCTTGTGTGCAGATGCCCAGAGGGCTTAGGTTGAAGGCAGAGAGCAGGCTGTGAGAGTGTGAGGTATAGAGATTGTCCCCAAGGCTGTCTATTCGGTCCCATTCATGCATGAGCCAAGTCAAGGATTCCCCCATGAGAGAAAGACAGCCTCTCCTTGGACGGCAGAATGGATACATTGCAGCTAGAACACGGATTCCAAGGCACAGGAAGAAAATACAGAACCTAGGATGAGAGGTGTACAAGCTCCCCACCTGCTGCTCTCTCCCCATTCCCTTCCTCTTCCTCTGCACTACCTCCCATCCCCTCAGCTTCCTCTCAGCTGCCACCCTTTCCTTAACGATCCTGTTCTAGAACCATTTATTCAGTGCCTGCTCCCCACCAGGCACTGTGGTGCATGCTGAGGTAAAGGGTGAATAAGACAACCCCTCTCTTCATGGAGGGCACAGATGAACAAATGATCACCATATTGTGGTGGTTTCCCATGAAGAGGCAGGCATGGGGTGCTCTGAGAACACAGATGGCAGGTGCCCGCCTAGCCCTGGACGGGGGGAGATGGGAGTCCAAGGCAGCTTTCTTGATAGGGTGCTGAGCAGAACCTTGAAAAAACAATTAAGAGTTAATCATCAAGCCAAAACCGGTTTGGCTCAATGGATAAAGCGTCAACCTGCGGACTGAAAGGTCCCAGGTTTGATTCCGATCAAGGGCATGTATCTTGGTTGCGGGCACATCCTCAGTAGCGGGTGTGCAAGAGGCAGCTGATCAATGTTTCTCTCTCATTGATATTTCTAACTCTCTATCCCTCTCTCTTCCTTTCTGTAAAAAATCAATAAAATATATATTTAAAAAAAAAAGAGTTAATCATCAAACAAGAGCAAAGGACACTCCTAGCAGAGGGGGACATCATTAGCAAAACCAGGAAGACAGAGCAGCAAGACTCTGTGAGCAGGGGATAGAGCAGATTAGCATAAACTCAGAGGGAGTCTTCCACATAAAGCTGGCAGAAGGGCATTGATCCCCTGCCAAGGAGCTTGAATTTATTCTACAGGAATTACCAGTGGGCTTTACTCAAGGGGAAGACACTGTCAGATTTACATGTCCACTGGATCTCTAAGTCAACAGGAAGATGGGAGAAGCGCTGCTCTGACAACCCAGGTACAAGTCCATGAAAGGAGAAAGTAAATTACCTGTAGTTAGTTGGTGCCCATCGTGCAAATGACAAGCATAACAGAAAGAACAGGTTCAGGACAGCGGTAGGAATGGGCCCGTTGAAGTGCCTGGAAGAGCACTAGGGAAGCTGACCAGCACAAGGGTTTCAAGCTCAAGAGAGCAGATAAGAGCGTACGCACTTGGGAATCATAACCATCTCTTTACCCTCATACGATATGCAGGCTTTAAGTCAGTCCCTTCAGTCCTCTTTCCAGAGCTTTCATCTCTCTTCGTGATTCCAGAATTGCCCACTCCGTATCCGGGAACTTCCTCACAGTGGGTACCATGTGTCTTCCTCATGTGGGACTCTATCAAAGCCTGATCAGTGGCACTGAGTAAGGGAAATTGCTTTGGTTCCTCAGACTTCCACCACCCACAAATATGATCTCAACCCCCGTGCTCATAAATGGACACTCACAGCCAATAAGAGTGTTATAGAGTTGGATAGGTTCTTAGGGGTTATTCCAATCCTGACGGTAGTATTTTCTTTTTTTTTTTTTCTATTACAGTTCACATTCAATATTATATTAGTTCCAGGTGTATAGCATAGTAGTTAGACATTTATATAACTTACAAAGTAATCCCCCTGATAAGTCTAGTACCCACCTGGCACCATACTTAGTTATTACAATACTAGAGGCCTAATGCACAAAGATTTGTGCAAGAATGGTCCTTCCTTCCCCTGGCTGCCAGCGCCATCTTTACTCCCGCCAGAGCCACCTTTCCACTTTTCCATGCTGCCCAAAGGCCCAGAATGGCTGGGGTGGTGCAGATTGCCTGGGTCTTTGCCATGGCTACAATGCAAGCATCCCGCAAGTGGCCACTTAGTGCCTGTGTATGCAAATTAGCATGCCATTTTTGTTGGGTTAATTTGCATACTCATTCCTGATTGGTTAGTGGGCGTCATGAAGGTATGGTCAATTTGCATCTTTTTCTTTTATTAGTGTAGATTATTGACCACATTCCCTATGCTGTACTGCATATCCCCGTGACTATTTTGTAATGGCCAATTTTTTCTTCCTAATCCCTTTACTGACACTTCCAGCCCACCTGGTTTGTCCCTGATAGTAGTCCAGCTTGGTTGCCTATCAACACCATTTCCCTACTTTCCCCTTCTAGTTTCAATACCTGAGTTGTTGATGGTGTGGCAGTGTCCTTCTTCTGTGGGTCCAACTCATCAAACATTTCAAGAGAAAGAAGCATCTTTTCTTAACACCTATAACAACTACAGACAGCCCTTGGGTTCAGGGGAAAGTGACCCTATCCTTGGCTCTAGAAAGTAAATTCTAGTTGGGATTAGCCAACCATAATAATCTTATTTCTCTTGCCAGTGATTTGTTAAGAATGGACATGTGATCCAGTTCTGGCCAATACAAAATGAGGGAACTGTTGAGAGATGCTGGGGAAATTTTCCTTGCTCTTAAAACCAGTGGTAATTCCTCTATTTTTTTTATTTTATTTTATTTTATTTAGTGTTCTATTTCTGGCTGTTATGAACTTGAGGTGGGGTGGGGCCATGACAGAAACCAGTGGTTAGTTGAAACTGATACTCAGTTTCATAGTCACTAGTGCAGCTCTCTAAATATTTCTACCTTCTAGAAATATAGTAGAATTGTAATTCTGGGTTCATTTGTAAGTAGGAGGGGAAAGTGACTTAATACCAACTGGTTGACAAATCATGAGCAGAAATAATGTGTGTTATTCCTGAACCAGAGCATCTACTTGTAATTTTGAGACCCTCTAAAGCTCTCATTTTCTTCTGGCATAGTGATCAGCAATGTTCTACATGGAAGTGGCTTTGTTAGACTGTAAGTGACCACAGTGGGTAGAGCCCACATATAATAAAAATAATGCCCCACTATCGGCATGTGGCATGAGAAAAAATATACTTTTACATCATAAAGCCACTATTTTGTAATGGCCAATTTTTTCTTCTTAATCCCTTTACTGACACTTCCAGCCCATCTGGTTTGGGATCCGTTATTGCAGCATATTCTACCCCATCCTGACTAATACACTAAAGATGGCAGATGGAAAGATGGGACTAGCATTTTTGAACTACTCATGAAACTATGCTCAGGGCTCTCACAACTCTGGTCTTCCAATAATGTGAATTAATACAGTTTCCAATTCTGGACTCTTATTTGAATCCAGAGTTCCTCTTAGATGCAGTCAAAGGTATCCTAATGGATAAATTATGTGTTTTCTGTCTCTATTCTGACTTGCTCTAGGGTTTCTACCTAGCTATGCAAATTTGTACTAACCATTCACTTCCATAGAATTTGGTTTTCTCCTCTATAAAATGTGTGTGTGTGGGGGGAGGGGGGGCGGGAGGAGTGGAGGGGGGAGTGTTTATTTAAGAAGTAATCTCTATTGTTTCTTCCCACAATGGCTTTATGGCCCCATGATCTGGTCCCTGCTATCCTTCTGGGTTCATATTCAACAACTCTCTCCTTACTCACTCTCTCCAGCCACACTGATGTCCTTGGTGTTCCTCAAAGCTTTTGCATTTGTGGTCTGCCTGGAACCCCTTCAGGCCTAGATGTGAGCAGGTTTCTAAGTTTCTACTTAAACACCACCTATTAAAGAGGTTTCCTGACCGTCCTAATGAAGATAGCACAACCATCACTCCACTACCCAACATTTCTTTCATCATGATCTATCTTACCCCTATCATGATGCATTATGGCATTTACTGCTAATAAATATACTTTCATTTAGATATTAAAATGTCTATTCTTACCTTCCATTAGAATATCTGCTCTTGTTTGAACTTTGTTATCTGTTTTGACTGTTGTATTCTCAATGCCTAGGACAATGCTTGGTACACAGTAGGCTGTATAGACATGGAAAGACCCATCTCCAGCTGAGAGCTCCTTAAGGGTCTGCTTCGGGTATAGAAATTGCCCCTTCTGGGAACA